TTTTTTCTTTTTTTTATTCCACTCCCACCCATCTGTCTATCCGTGTTTTTTTAGTTTTTTTCTTAGCCAATTTTACTTTATAAGTTGTCATTGGATTTGTCCATCAAGCGCGTTAATATGCAATTTCTTTATTTTGTCTTTACATTTTTCAAGTTTTAAATGACGTGTCATGAGTGATGTGTTAATATTTGTGCTGCTGTTAATAAGAGATTAACAAAAAAATTAAAATTAAAATAAAGTGATTAGTATTTTTCCCAACGAAAACGTTTAATGAGGAAACCAAACATATCTTTATTCTTTGTCAATATTCTTTATTAAAAATAAAATCTTAAAAAATATCGGCATACCATACAATCTTGATAGAGGATCTTTACCAAGGCCTGTCGACTCGCGTAAAAACATTTATTTTTTTTGCCGAGGATTGTGGGATGCCCGGGTAGAATAACAATTCATAAATAAATGATTAACATAACTTTTTGATTAAAGATGCTTTTTATTTTGATTAAAGATGTTTTTTGTTTTGAATGTTTTTTATGATTACTTTCAAATTTTTTTGCGTAAAATCATGAAACAGATTTTCGGTTCGACACTTATTAGGAAATTCCCTATTAAAACTATAAGTACCATTATTTATAATAATAACAGTAGTATTAAATATTTCTTCAAACTTAATTTGAGGATCATTGAATTGGCTTACTATTGAATAAACGCTCTATATAAACATTTTTGACAAGATATATTTTATCATTCAGTAAATTCAAATCAAAATATGTATTTAAAAAAAAAAAAGTTATCAGATTCAAACTGACATAATCAAACACATACATAAATAAAACAAATAAAACAAAATAAATCACAATCATATATAATGAAAAGAAATTAACTGATTGTTAAAATCAAAAAATATTGAACTTAACTTTAAAACCGTTAGAACTTTAAAACCAAAGAACTTTAAAACCGTTAGAAGTTTAAAATCGAAAAAGAACACAGCTATATAACTTCGTATAATTTTCATACAATATTATAAAATAGAAATTATTTGTGTAGCAAACGTTTCATCTTTTTATTACTTCTTTTATTTCGTAGACATCACGATTGTACAGCCTAATAAAATAAAAAATTCTCGTAATGACAAAGATATGAACTATTTTTTTTTGTAAATAAAAAATTCTCGTAATGACAAAGATATGAACTATTTTTTTTTGTAAATAAAAAATTCTCGTAATGACAAAGATATGAACTATTTTTTTTTTTGTAAATAAAAAGAATGATCAATATGATATTTAAATAAAAAGTCAAAAGTACAGATTTCTATTATTTTAGAAGATAATCTAAAAGCAAAGTCAGTATCCACTTTTTCATAAATTCCATGAATACTGTTTCCATATGACAAATTAATAATACTAATAATGAATTTGGTGAACAATTTTGACTGTATGTTTGTTCATTGACTTCTAAACCATGTTTACTAGGTATCGTAATATCTATCAATTCATGACAAAGCACTAACTCACACTGTTGGCACAGACAAACTCTTTTTATCATCAAGTTAGCAAAATCTGTATGTGCTTGTACAATTTTTTTTTCCTAAGAATTGTAACAGGAAATCTGTTCAAAGAATTAATTTATTTTTTTGTAAGAAAAAAATAAACATTCTTGTTTAGTTGTTGTTGTTTTTTTTACATTTTTAAATAAAGAATTAATATCTAATACCACACTAAAATCTGTTTCTGTCAGACAATTGCTATTAGATTTGCTAGTTTCTACTGACAATCACAATAAAGAGTTCTGGTAAGCTGCTCGAAATTGTCTAACTGTCGGTCTGTCATTTCACCCTCCTTTGCTTCGAATAGTTCCAAAAAAACTTTTTAAACAATCTTGATTAAAGCGAGAAGTGCTAACACAATGAAACCCTTCTGAAAGAAGCTCCTGACTTAGTTTCAGTATAATGGTTATTGTAACATCTAACCCCCAATGACTAGCTATCTGGGATTGGGATTTTACATCACAAAACTTCCATTGATTAATCCAAGTTTGGAGTTCCCTTAACAGTAAAATGTTATTTCCTTTTGCTGTTATAGCACAACGAGCAGGTTTATCTGCATGAAGCTTACTTGGATTCATCAGGTCAAAAAGAGTATCAATTTTATCAAAAAATTTGGCAGTCGGTAATACAGTTGATGGTAAAACATTTGCTGTGACACGCAAAGACAATGCTGTATCAATCTGATGACTAAATACTTGTGTGGCTAAATTAACTTTCATTTTTAGAAATGCTCCAGCATCAAGATGTCTATCAGTCAATTTTGGTGTGAGACGGATAGGGTTGCATTTGTCTACCTCATACAACATACGAATGTGATGCCATGAGACTATATTTCCATCAATATCAATGTTATGTCGCATAAGATTATTACGTACACTTTTAATCAGGTGAGGGGGATCAAAGATAATATGAACTGTATATTTGAAAGACGAATAGTGAATACAAGATTTCATTTTTGAAAAACTCAGGATTTTAAGTGCTGCAATATTGGTTGATCCTTGATCACATACAATACACCGAACTAACAATCCACAGTTCTGAACTCTTAATATAGCTTCTTGAATATATTTAGCAAGATTAACTGTTGAAACAGTTGAGTTACTAAAGTAATAAGCAATTGGTTGCTTCCATTTAGTGACAATACCTCTGATAATAAAAACTAAAGATTAAGTGGTTTCTTATTTTTTATTCTAAAAACAACATCTGCACTTTTATTATAATCTAAATGCTGTTTGAGTGTCATCTCATCCAATACTAAACTGCTATTACGATCATGTTGATTCATGTTATCAACACGTAGTTTTAGTAAAGTGAACAATTTTTGTGAAAATCCAGCTTGCATATCTCCATAAGCTCTTGAAAGAAGTAATTTTTAAGTGGTGCTACTCGGTAAAGAAAAAATAGAACTTAAAATTCGGTAAGCTTGTGGGCTATGAAAAAAAAGTCATTACATTTTCTTTGCTTTTTTTTTTCCATTAGTTTTATTTTTTTTTTTAAGTCTGCTTATTGTAACACGAGATGTACGCAATGAATTTTGCACTTTTTTATACTTTGTAATGTCAACACTTTCTTGATTGTTTTGAATGTTGGGATTTTCAAATATACCAATATTTTTTTCAATTCATATTTTTTTAGTTTTAGAAGGCAAAGGACTTCTTTTAGCATGTGGTTTTCCCTCGTTCTTTGTTAAATAGTACATCGAACTTTCAAAATGATTACTACACAAACGATAATCTTTCAAAGTTTCGACAGGTTTTCCATATTAATCTTCTACAATTTATAACCCATTTCTTGCACAAAAAAGTATGGTAATTATCTGTGCATTGTTTTTGATGGTTACAAATCATTCATTAAAGATTAAGAATGTCAAAAGAAATAAAAATGATTAAAAATATTGAATTCAAACCAAAAAAAGTCATCTGTAAACCAGGCTTGTGGAGACGAAAGTTTTTTTTAAAGCTCGGCTCCTAAGAAATGTTCGGCTACGGCTGCCAGACTTTACAAAAATTGCAAATTTTGGAATATTTTTTTTGATCGCATTTGCCTACCCAAATCCAAACCAATTACAGCATTTATTTTTAATCAACTTTCGTGTTTACAAGGTTATTAAGATATTACTATCAGTACTCTACTACCGCAATTTACAAAGAAAATTGTTTTGGGTAAGTATACATTTATTTATATATATTATTAACCCAAACTAGGGTTTCTAGTTTTAATTCTAGCCAATAAGCTCGGGACCTAAAAATAACGTCTTTTGAACGTTCAAAAGTTTCAAAACGTTTAAAAGACATCTTTTTTACGTCTTTTGCCCACTGGGTAGTATAATTTTTAAGATATGAACAACCTTTGATCATTAAATTGCGCATCAAATATTTAACAGCAAAATATCAATGCAAAAATAAAATATAAAATATATAGACCCCTCTACCCACAAAAATATTTTTTGGACAGCGTAAAGTAAAATATGAGTTTTTTTTTTACATTTTTAATGAAAAATAAGTTTTTTTGAGTGGAGGACCACCTTAATATGGATAAATCAAAGTCGTCATAGAAAATGAAAAAAAACGTTTTATTACCTACAAATGTATTAGGTATATATTCAAGAGTAGTAAATTAAATTAAGAATGTTGATTTTACTTTCATAACATATTTCTTAAATTGCTTAATAATCAGCCTAAACTTAATCCAGCACCCTGAAAAAAATTAATTAGATTTTTTGCTCAAGTTTTTTTTTTTTATTTAGGACATTGTACTTATGCACATTTTTGATATATGATGCAACTGTAGCACGAATATAAAAACTGCATGAGCAAAACAATCTTAATGTCCTAGAATAAAATGCATGAGTGCCTGCGGACAATGTTTAGGCTTAGGAGTGCACAAATGTCACGGATAGTGTCAAAGCATAAAGGAGTGCACAAATGCAACAAAAAATAAAAATATCAATATTAATGACAACGAGAAAAAAAGTAGCGAAAGATTACCACCTTCGCTACTTTTCTCGAAATTCGGAAGAATTTTTGAAAAAATATTAAAATTTTGACTTTATTTTCAAGTATATTATAAATTTATTGGCATATCATTTGAAAAAATAATGTTGATTTGTTCTAGATAACCTATAAACAAGTTTTGTATTAAACTCAAGTTTAATTATTTTTCGAGAAAAGCGTCTAATTTTGCCCAAATAAAGTTTTGCATAGAACTGCTGATATCAGCATTTTAAAAATTTATTTATATATATTTACATATTATATATAACTTGTATACATTGTTTGGTAGGCTTTGTTTTGTGTACTTTAGTGTATTTTATTAGGATTGAGTAGTTTTAGGTATGTTAAAGTAGATAAAACTACGCTTATAATGTTACTAAATGCAAATTGATGTTTTCTAAAACATTAAATTTGCTTTTATAATGCAAATTGAATGTTTTCTAAAAACAATTACTTTTTAGAAATTGTTGGTTTTCCATCCTTCTAAAAGAATAAATGCTTCTACAAGTCTTGCGCATCCTTTCTTTTTGGAATCAAAATTTCCTTCAAAATTAGAAGTCCTAAATGAAGCTCATCTAAAAAATAAGACAATAATATCTTCAAATAAATTAAAGAAGTTTTCTAAATCAGATATTTTGTCCACAACTGAGTTACAGAAACAAAATGTCAACGTTGAAACAGAGCGAACAACCAACAGTAAATCATTACTCCGAGTTGACTCTGGTATATGTTTATCGCCCACATCTGACTATTCCAGTAGCCAAAGTAACGAAATATTTGAGTTGAGTAATTTAGACAATTTTGTAAGTGAAAACGAAAGTGAGAAAGAAAATAGTGAATATGGTAGTGCCCAAAGTAGATCGAGTTGCGAAATAAACGTTAAAAACAGTTGGAAGGATGAGAAAGATATCAAAGTAAATAACTCGAAAAAAAAAGCACTGAAAAGAAAAAGTAAAGAATAGCTTTATATTACTATATTTTAAAGTGAGCGGGCATTAAAGGTTTTTAATTGTAAATAAATTATTAAACGGATTGCTTATGCAACGCGAATTGTACTTTTTAACTATTTCTGAGAAAATCTTACATGAATGTAAATTTTAATTTATTAGACATTTCAAAAAGTAATAAAAATATTAACGTATAATAATGAAGTAAAAATTGTAACTTCATCTTGTTTTTATTTTATGCGTTTTTAAACGATTCTCTAATATGGAAAAAATTCCACCTTCATCATCGTGATATTCCAAGTGAAGATTTAGTCTATTTAAAATATCGTTCATGCGCTTATCATCTTGTTCTCGTTGAATATCTTGATTTAATCGTAGAGGTAAATAGTTATTCCAAGTCAAATTTGACAAGGGCTTGACAAATCTTTTATCTTTATTCAAAATAGGAAACTGTTCTAACTGTTTGCTTGTTTTTTTACTAGATCGACACAGTGAAGAACATTCATTGCTAATATCAGATCTACATTCTATTATCCTATCTTGAGAAAAGAATCGAGACTTTGTAACATCGCACTGACTAAATGAATTTGACGTCGCAGTTGAGGGATTTTTTGGAAAACAAACCACATCAATTACGTTTTTAAGTTCGTTGTATAGCTGTTTGGTGCATAAGATAGCATTTTTCTTATAGCTGTTTTCAAAAACGATATCGTGATCTTTGGTCTGACATCCGTCATATAACTCAATAAATTCAAATTTTTTTTCGGGCTGTCCGCAACACCTAAAAGTTGAATCTGTTTTTCCATTACTTGATGCTCTTATTATGGCGCCTGGATGGTAAACACATGTCTTAAAATCCGCAACAGGAAATATAGTATCACAAACATTACATTGCATGTAATTAATCAAACTCCATATCCTAATTAATATTAATAGATAATATAATTAAGAGATTATAAATAGAAGCATTTATGTATGAAATAAAAAAATTGAATTAATTTTTTATTAATGCCTTCTAACGCATACTAATTCTTGCATGAGTTGCAGTCTTTTTGTTTAATCCAGTATTTTATATACATAATTAATACAGTATTGTATATATACCCCCTAAACAAATACCTGAAATAAAATTTACTAGTTCAATTTTTGTTTATTTATATTTTAGATTTGGAACGTTTCTGTGCATATGGACTTTAATTAGATATAAGTAAATGAATTTATCAAAAATATGAAATACACGTTAAATAAATAAATGTAAATAAAAAAATTAGAAATATTTTCCGATAAAAACGTCAAATTAGCTCGATTCAACATTTTCCTCAACGCCTTAACATTTAATTATTGGAACTGATTTCATCAAACTTAAAAAAATTATTTTATTTTGACTGTAAAGCTTGTTAAAACCTTGAAAATTTTTTCTTCAATTTTGTGTAAAAACAAACCCTTTTTTAAATACTTTTTTTATCTGTTGTTATTGCTAAGTCATAATTACATAATACCTGTCCAAGAGATTGTTTTATTTTTTATTTTTTTTGTGAAAAAAAAAGGTTTTCTAAAAAGGAACTCACACCCTTTAAAAAAAAAAAGGTTAGAGTGGGTTGTTGTTCAAACCCACTCTCGGCTTTGTGTCCACTAATAAAAAAAATTAGTCTTTTTTTATTAGTGGACACAAAGCCGCTGTGCAAAGAAACAAGCTTAGTACCATGACCCGAGTAATACTAACCATAGTTAACCTTGAAACAACAACAAAAATAACCTTGGAACAACAACAACAAAAAATACAAAACTTTGTTAACTAGAAACGTGTTTTAATTTTTTTACGCACACAGGTTTTGAAAGGGGGTGTTAATCAAAAAAGTATGAACGGGTGCAAGTACGTACGCGGTTTGACTCACGTTCTCTATCTCTCTTAAACTTTGATATCTTTTTTTTTAACAAAAACATTGAATTTCACAAGTTTAAAAAATCAATATTATGTCATATAACAGAAAAATGTTGAGTTAACTAGTTTAGGAAAGGGGAGGGTTGATTTTGTTTTTTATTTTGTTGATAAATAAAGCGTACTTAGGTACGTAGAGGGAAGGGCGAAGGGGCTTGTTGAAAACGTACAGGTACGTGCAAGAAGGAAGGGGGTCCTAAATCAGTGGTTTTACTGCGTACGTACCTTATGAACTTTAGTGTTTAATTTAGTGGGTGTCAAATTTGAAATGTTTTGTTTATTAATTCTTAAAGGATCCTATGATTTAAATAACTTTTTTCTTAAGCAGAACTTTTTTCTTATAGTTGCTGACAAAAAAAAAGTTGAGTTTTTACATTATACGTACTTTCTCTATATATACATATAAACAACTCGGTATACTATTTTAGGAAATCCTAAAAAACATTTAGGATCTTTTAAAACTGCTGTTCAAAATCTATTAATTAGTCATTGTCATATTGTAAATTTGTTAATCACGTATTTGGATATATTAGACAAATTCAAAAGAGGTTAGTTGACTCGTTTTTTTCACGTATTTGGATATATTAGACAAATTCAAAACAGGTTAGTTGACTCGTTTTTTTCATGACATACTGACGATAAGATGAAGAAACATCTCACAGCAAACAAGATTATTCTAAATCATTTGTAAAAGAAGTTAGAAGTAATTTTCCAAAAATTATTAATTTTAGAGCGACTTTCTGTAAGAATCAGCCAAAAACACTAAATTTTTTGAGTGACCTTTTTCAAAATCTTTAATTTTTTGATTTTTTTTTTGTTATTATAAATCTTTATCTAGTTAAGTACCTAAAAGTATCAAAACATCTACGGGAAAGTAAAGGCTTAGCCGCAAAAACGAAATTTTAATCTTTTTACGCACTGATAATGGTTTAAGCCCTGGGTTCACTTTAAAATTCATTTTAAAAAAGCTTGTATTGACCTTTAATCTACCTTATTTATAAAAAATACTTTTAGGGCATTGCAATAGTTCAGATAAAATAACGTATGAATAGTATAGATATTTTCTTGGTGCTTCTATATTTATTTATAAGCGCTTGAATTCAGTATGTTTCCTTGTTACTCTATTTTATAATATATTTTAAGGTCTTAAAGAGCTATGAGCTAGCTGGTGATTGGAACGATAAATCTCTAATTAAAAATCATTTAAACAGAAATTTTAACAATACAGAGAAAATTTGCGCATATCATCGCTACACATTAGGAATAGGATAGAAACGAGGAAAAAAATAGATGACAGTGGTCACACAGTTGCTTTGTATAGGGAAAGTTGCAAAGAAATTGCGTACGAGCCTCTGTCAAACTCAACTTTAATGCGGATACTAAATTGAATTAAATCATCTCATAGAAAATGCCTAGATGGTTTAAATGCCATGGCTGCTGCTAGGATGAATGCATTTACAACACTTGAACAATTCGCAAATATCTTCAATAAAAAATCAACTGTTGAGAAACTTGAAAGATCAAAAAGGTATTTAAAAACTAAATATAAACTTCATTGCAGCTATTTGGAAAATGAAATTGCAACACATTTAACTCAATTTGCCCTTTCGAATCCTGAAAACATTAAAATCATGTAGCATTTTAAATGATTCTGTATGCTTTAAATGCAATGAGCTGTTTGAAGTTTTAGATGAAGTCAACCAAATAAGAAATGAAAATGTTAATGATGATGTGTTATATGACATTAAAGTATCAATAGGCAACATCACAGAGTATATGAAACACCTCTTAAAAGATGCACAACAGAAAAAAGCAAAGAATGATGCATATAAACAACTAGATGACAAAACACCATTTTGGTTGAAAGACTATTCACAAAAGATATTACCCGTAATGTTTAGAGAGGGTCAGAAGGATAACTTAGGGAAGAAGGGCAAACATCTGGATGCATACTGCATACAGATGTTTTTTTTTTTTTTACCAAAAAAAGGACAAAAAAGCATTTTTATTTAACAATTTTATATCGCTGCGATTAAGGTGTTTCCTCTGTTATCTATATTGCTGAATCAGTTCTAATTTAGTTACGCCTAAATAAATTATACTCAAAAAATGAGTCACAAGGAAACATACTGAATTCAAGCGCTTATAAATAAATATAGAAGCACCAAGAAAATATCTATACTATTCATACGTTATTTTATCTGAATTATAGCAATACCCCATAAGTATTTTTTATAAATAAGGTAGATTAAAGGTCAATACAATTTTTTTTTTAATTGAATTTTACAGTGAACCCAGGGCTTTAACCATTATCATGTCACAATCAATGCGTAAAAAGATTAAAATTTCGTTGCGGCAAAGCCTTTGCTTCCCCATAGGTGTTTTTATACTTTTAGGTACGTAATTGGATAAAGATTTACAATAACAAAAAAAAAACTGTGGGATAATCGCGGCTTCGAATGAAAACGAAGATCAAAAATGACAAAAAAAATCTTTCGCATATTTTGAAACATGTTACTTAGACCAAGAAAAAAATTTCCTTTACCAATTTTATTAATTTTTGGTCTCAACTAGCCAATAAACAATAATCAAGTGGAATACTCATTGTAAAGTATTTACTTTGCTTTTTTTTCGAGTTTAAAAATGCCTTCGACACCGTTTGGTCAATATTTCTTAGAATTTTAGTAAAACTTTAACATCTAATATCTAAAGAACCAATTAAAAATTTAATAAGCTTCTAATATGAATTGCAACAACATATTAAAAAATTAGCGATTTTGAAGAGAGTCACTATTGAGCTCTGTCTGATTCTTAAGGAAAGTCGCTCTTAACTATAATGACAATACAAATTTCTACATTCATCTAAATATAATGAAAACCTTTCTAATATTCAGTCAAAATCAATTTAAATCAAAATGTACATAACTATCTTACCCAACGTCAGTCGGAGCACGGAAACTGTAAAGAAAAATCCAGTAAAACTGAAGTCATAAGCATGTCTATTCACACAGGTTACTCCATATTTACATATCAGTCAATAAAGTAATGGCAAACACAGGTTTGTACCAGGGATGTCCTTTGAAAGTAGAATAACATTTTAAAAAGAAATCAAATTTTAAGGTTTGCATATATATATATATATATATATATATATATATATATATATATATATATATATATATATATATATTGGGCCGGCGTGGCTAGGTCCATGCGAATTATGCGGTCGCTTTGGGCGCCGGCATGGCTAGGGCTCTGCGCTGGCGTAACCAACCTTTTTTTCGTTTTTTTTTTTTAAAACCATAAATTTGATTTTACAAAAAATAAACTTAAACATAAATTTTAGCGTTCATATTGTGTGCATATACTTAGTTGTTTACGTATTAGGGGCGCCAAAGTTTATATGCTAAACTATTGATTTTTTACATTTTTCCTTAGCACTTTAAAACATAATCAGATCGAGGGTAGTTGGTATTTAATTATTTGAAAAAATAAGTTTGTGGGGTAATTGTTTATTTAAATCATATTTTTTTAACGTTAAATGTTTATTGTAACCGTAAACTCACATTTAGTGGCGACAAAGTTTATATTTTAAACTATTTATTTGTATGTACTTGCTTGCTCTTTAATGAAAAAATAGTATTAGCAAAAAGTAGTAGTTAGTTAACTATTGAAAGAATAAATTTGTGTCATCATGACGGAAAAAAAGAAACCTTCAGATTTCTTAAATAAAAAACGCAACTCAGATATGGAGAGAGAATTCAAAATACATACAAAGGCATTGATTAAATAGAAAACGCAACTCAGATATGGAGAGAGAAGTCAAAATACAAGCCTTTTATTAATTAAGGCATTGATTAATTTTTTTGTTAGATTGGAAGAATAAGATCCAAACGATAATTAGTATTAACTAAAGGTAAGATATGATAAAAGAGTGCATTCATTACTATCAAGTTTGTTTACAAATATAAAAAAATAATAAGTTAAAGAGATAATAGATTACTCTTTATTTAAGCCTTAATACACTTTCGCGGAAAGTGTGGACTTTTCCTCCACACCGGTGTGTAGCTATAACTCCTAGACACAAGTGTGGAGTTAATTTGAACACTGTTGTGGAAATTAACTTTTTCTAACTCGACTTCTGCACAGAAGTGTGAAGTTATTGGCACAAAAGTGTGGAAAATAACTCCACAAATGTGTCTAGAAGTGATAGCTACACACCGGTGTGGAGGAAAACTCCACACTTTCCGCGAGTGTGTAAACATGTGTACTATTTTTTTAATATTCTTTTCGTAAGGTTGGGTGTACTTTTAATGAAGCAGTTGAAATCTTTTTCTGTACAAGAGCGCTTCATTTTACAACCAAGTACCAGTACGAGTGCGTCAATTTCAGTTTCATACAAGGTTTAGCCTTTTCTTGAAAAAATAATTTATAAAAATACAGTACAAAATCTTGTTTTAAAACAAAAATTTTAGTTTTAGCTCATCTCTTTGTATAATTTCTCTACTCAAACATGAGCATTTCTTGGTACTCAAACATGAGCATTTCTTGGTACTCAAACATGAGCATTTCTTGGTACTCAAACATGAGCATTTCTTGGTACTCAAACATGAGCATTTCTTGGTACTCAAACATGAGCATTTCTTGGTACTCAAACATGAGCATTTCTTGGTACTCAAACATGAGCATTTCTTGGTACTCAAACATGAGCATTTCTTGGTACTCAAACATGAGCATTTCTTGGTACTCAAACATGAGCATTTCTTGGTACTCAAACATGAGCATTTCTTGGTACTCAAACATGAGCATTTCTTGGTACTCAAACATGAGCATTTCTTGGTACTCAAACATGAGCATTTCTTGGTACTCAAACATGAGCATTTCTTGGTACTCAAACATGAGCATTTCTTGGTACTCAAACATGAGCATTTCTTGGTACTCAAACATGAGCATTTCTTGGTACTCAAACATGAGCATTTCTTGGTACTCAAACATGAGCATTTCTTGGTACTCAAACATGAGCATTTCTTGGTACTCAAACATGAGCATTTCTTGGTACTCAAACATGAGCATTTCTTGGTACTCAAACATGAGCATTTCTTGGTACTCAAACATGAGCATTTCTTGGTACTCAAACATGAGCATTTCTTGGTACTCAAACATGAGCATTTCTTGGTACTCAAACATGAGCATTTCTTGGTACTCAAACATGAGCATTTCTTGGTACTCAAACATGAGCATTTCTTGGTACTCAAACATGAGCATTTCTTGGTACTCAAACATGAGCATTTCTTGGTACTCAAACATGAGCATTTCTTGGTACTCAAACATGAGCATTTCTTGGTACTCAAACATGAGCATTTCTTGGTACTCAAACATGAGCATTTCTTGGTACTCAAACATGAGCATTTCTTGGTACTCAAACATGAGCATTTCTTGGTACTCAAACATGAGCATTTCTTGGTACTCAAACATGAGCATTTCTTGGTACTCAAACATGAGCATTTCTTGGTACTCAAACATGAGCATTTCTTGGTACTCAAACATGAGCATTTCTTGGTACTCAAACATGAGCATTTCTTGGTACTCAAACATGAGCATTTCTTGGTACTCAAACATGAGCATTTCTTGGTACTCAAACATGAGCATTTCTTGGTACTCAAACATGAGCATTTCTTGGTACTCAAACATGAGCATTTCTTGGTACTCAAACATGAGCATTTCGTGTAACAAGTAAAACAGTTTTCATAGAAAACAATGAAAACTTTTTTAAAATTGTTGAACACTTTCAAAATTTGGCACTAAACATCATTCTAAGCATCTTCGTCGAGTAACTGCCTAAGAAACTCATGCAGTCTTTAGGCAAAAAAAATTCAATTTCTGTAAAGTTACTGTGTTTATCTTGTGTTAACTGCAGTAAGCTTTGTATTATTTCATAGTTCTTGACTAAAATCCTGGGTTAAATTGTAAAGAACAAAATTTGTTCTTTACAAAATACGCCAGGATTTTAGTATCATTTAATGATAATTGTAGTTCGGTTTGTGTATGCAGCACCAGGACAAGATGTAAAGACGAGGGACAACTTTCTTAGATTATTTCAGGTCTTAGACAATCTAGGCAAAGATTGACAGCTTACTTATTAGACGAGTATTTGAAAAAAGAAACATTCGTAGAAAATATGCGGGACCAAAGTTATAATAATAGATCACGCAAAAAGGAAAAGAATGTAGGCGTACAAAAAGATCCTTGACCTTAACCCACTATTTGGAAACCGCAATGGGAAGATAATTACAGATTTCAAAGTATTCTGCTCTTTGGTCTCTTGGTATGATGTCTGGTTCAAAATAAATTTAGTAAGCAAAACACTTAAGATGAAAACTGTTTATTTGCAGAGCACTTTGAAACTAATTGAAAGTGTCGAGACGTTTTTGGAGAACATGAAATCGGAAAATGGGCTGTATAGTGTTATTACAGATATCATGGAACTGGCCAAAATGTTGGACATTTAGAGATCTAAAGCTCTCTTAAGAAGTTGTGGTTAGGCCATGAAAGATCAAGAAGCAATTTTACTATAATAGTAAATATGAATCTGTTAAGTTGGCAATGGAGTCTTTTTAGGTAAACTTATTTTTTGTAATTTTAGTTAATTTAAATATAGATTTGAACTGATGAAAAATTAATTTAAATATAGATTTGAACTGATGAAAAATTACAGCGCAGATTTTGAATTCCTCTATAATATAACAGAATAACAAATTTAACACAGATGCAGTTAATAAAAAATGCAAAAACCTAAATTTTGTTTTGACAGCTGATGGCAAGAGTGACATCAATAGGCATGAACTGTTTGGTGATATTGTAATCTTAGCTCTAATCTTGCCAAAAGATAACTGTCCCTAAACACTATTGTTATTTTCAACATTGTCAAAAATGTTTGATTGACATCATTCCTAATGTGTGTGTGGCATTGAAAATTTTGGTTTTGCTTATGGTATCAGTGGCCAGCGGAGGAAAAAGTTATTTTAAATTTAAAATGATCAAAAATTACCTTTGATTGACCATTTCTCAGGACCGCTTATGTGGATGGCGACATTAGCAATTGAACACCAAGTTATTAGTACTATTGAAATCGATTCTTTTTTGAAAGACTTTGCCAAAATTAAAGCGAGAAAAGTTTGTTACATGATGATGCGTTTTATTTTTGTCAATTAAAACTTCATGATATATGCTTGATAATCTCTGTATTAATATTATTTCCATCACACAGTGCTCCCCTGGGTAAATTTGTGACCATAAAGGTAAATTTTGATTTAGTCCAATTTTTTGGTTGATTATTACTAGAATTAATTATTAAAATAAATTACTACTAGTTTTTTTATTTATAATAAATTGTAAAATTAGAAAATTGTATCAATAGTAGCTAGGCTACCTAACATTGGTTACATTTATTTTAAGTTTCTACATTTATAAATAAATTCATAAATAACTAAAAACAAATAACAAAAAAAATTTATAAATAATTAAAAACGAATAACAAAACAACAAACAATAAAACAAGTTATAAAGAAATAGGGATATCGAGGACTTGGTGTCTTTGGTCTATACCTTTGAAGTACAAACTGTTGAGATCCAAACTGATCTAGTGCTTATACGTGCAAAATGTAATCAATTTAACTAATGTAAGTTTTTATGCATGTGTAAAAAATACTGTACTCAAAGCAAAACTTTGGGTGTTATTTTCTTTTGTTGACAGGTTACTTGCGAAACTTGCGAAAGGAGAATATAAATCACTTGTCTATTTAAAACCATTAACCAATTGATAAAAACAATATTCTGATTAAAAACATATTCAAATATATGTTTTTAATCAGAATATTGTTTTTATCAATTGGTTAATGGTTTTAAATAGACAAGTGATTTATATTCTTTGCCTTAATCGTAATTTTTTTTCTTTGCAATGTTTTTTTTTTTGTAAATTAATGTACAAAAGACTGCAACTATTCAAGATGTTTTTGCCAAACATTTTTACTACATAAAATTATTATTTTGAAATCTAAAACAAAAATTTACCTCCAGTAGACAAGAGTCCAAGATTTTAACTCCTCTTTTAGCATCGACAAATAATCTGCAGATGACCATAAGGAATCCCTTTTCATTCAAATAATAATAACAATAAGCACTAAAAAACAAAACTAATAATATCAAATGTTCATAAAATGTTATACCTTTCATGGCACCAGCGTATGTTGCCATAGCTATCAATTGTCATTCTAGAAAATAAACAAATACAAGTTTATTATAATCATGATCATCATACCAATGTTTTTGTTATAATATAACATGTTATATTATAATAAACGAGTTTATTATAATATAACATGATCATCATAACATGTTTTTATAATAGGAATCGTCCATAAATTAAGTCGCGCAATTTTCGACCGTTTTTGATCTCCCTCCCCTTCGTTTCAAAATCGTAACACTTAAGTAGCAAGTTTTGTACGAGTTGTCACAAAACCACCAACCACCTCCCTCATAACATGTTTTTATCATAACATAATGTGTTTAAAGTTTAAAAACTGAAAGGTTTACAAAACAGTGCTTTTTTACAACATTACAATGTGATATAACATAATTTCGCATTTAACATTAACTTAACATAGATAAATTTGTAACCTATCAATTGAACATGAAATTTGATTACAGATATATGCCAAAAGATACTTTCCACAGACAAGACACCTGTTAGAAAATATCTATATATTTGTATGTCAGCAAGAAAAAATTAATTTTAAAATTGAAACAGAAAAAAACCTTTAATATACCTAAACAAAGTAGATGCATTATTTGGTGATAGTTCGGTAGAATAATCAGATTTAAAGATTTCATCAAGCTTCACACGAAACAACCTACTGTATTATCAAAATACACAAATTTTATAATATAATATATTATAATGAAAATTAATTTTGTTTTCTTAAACATTTTATTTTGTCATTTTATAAACATCAAAAAACTACATGGTAGCGCATATATTGTTATATCTTGGTAATTTTTTTAGTATTCACCTTTTAAATTTATCATCATTATCTTGAAGCTGATATATTTGTCTTTGGTCGAATCGAGATGCAATTCTATAATAAATAAAGAAAAAACAAACTAATTAAATTAATAATAACAGCAACGGAAATACAATGATTTTTTAATAGGTAGTAGAGACTTGAATAGATAGATAATTTGTAGAGATAGATTTGAAGAGCAAGAAAATTATTGAAATCTGTATGAGTCAGAAAAGCAAATGAAGATAGGAAAGAACTCCAAAAAAACTCAGAAAAACACACAAAGATAGGAGAGAACTCCAAAGCATTGGCGTTCAACAAAAAAAACTTTGCAAATAAGTTTTTTTATAAAAACATGGTGGTTACGTTTTGGTTAGTGGAACAAAAAGAGAAAAGAACTCATTGGAAGAACCTATACAAACATGACAACAATATTTTAAATAATTAAGGATAAAAGATTTATAGAGGTAGAAAAGAAAAAATTAGGAGTAAGAAACTAGTAAGCAGGAAAAAAACTTTACAATGGATCAGACACATGGTTTTGATATGAGTTCAGTAGTGATATGATATAATAAAATTATAATCCACAAAGATATAAAGTAAAGAATTCAGTAAGAGTGTTGCCATTACCAATATATCATTTTTATAATTTATTATTCAAGCCGCTGTGACACATGTGACATGAGTTAGAAACTTAGAGTAAATAATTCCAATTGATACCTGCTCTTGCCCCATTTGCGATATCGGTAAGAAAGATGGCCTGAACTTCTTGATTAAATCTTTTAAGGCATTATAATGCTTTTTGAAGTACTGTGACATCCAAAAAAATATTACATTAAATAATAAATAAATAATTCTAAAATAATTGCAAGCCAATGCAAATTCTAAGCTGCCATATAAGAAAAGATTGAAACCAAGGTTGGCTGCTCTAAGCAACCAAAAAGTTATGATTTTTTATTTAGACTGCAGTGTAAAGTTGTACCATTAGTAAATTGAGTCACTTAAAAAGTAAGGTTGTCAATTAGAAATTACATGTCAATTAAGAAGACCATTAATATAGATGAAGGGTCAGAACAAACTCCAGAGTTTTTAAATCTGGAATCACTTATTTAATTTTTCGAAAAACAGAAAAATAAGATTCATTTAACCACTTTTTAATTAGTTGAATTGATGAATAGCACAAAAACAAGATTAATTTAATTAGTTGAGTTGATGGTCTCAGTAAAATAAATGTTTATCTAACCTATTATCTTAATAGACCTTTTAATTCTTTAGAAAACTGTGTCATTAGCAAATAAAGCCACTTTAGAAGTAAGATTGTCAGGAAAACCATTAATATAGATAATTTTTTTAGAAAATTCTAAAATAAACAATGCAAAACTCTTATGAATTGAGCATTTATTTAAATTAAACAATGCAATACTATTATGAATTGAAGCATTCATTTAAATTAAACACACAACTAGTGTAAACAATTCAAAAAATCAGAAAATTTATGAGTAAGTGTTAGCATATACATCAACAACTTTATTTATTACAAATTTATTTTGAAGTTTGTAAATGTAAACTACTTTCATATTTTAAGAATATATTTACCTATATACTATCTTGTCACTTATGCCATGCATGTTATTGGATGCAGCTATGACATCATTCAAATGACTACAGCAAAAACTGATGCATTTCTTGACCTTAATTGGAATTAAAAACAGATTTAATAAATATTTACAAATAAATTAAATAACATGTTAATAATAATAACTAACATAAATTAAATGCATATTTGCAGATTAAATATGACTAACTTAATACAAAACAAAAAAAAACCTTGTTTAAAAAACTCTTGTCTAAAACTTAATTGCTTGGTTAGAAAATGAAAATAAATAATTTTTTTTAAATCATTTTTATATAAACCATTTGTCATAAGCAGTATTCAAGATAACCAATAAATATGTAGGATCTATGTTTTATATAAGAACAAATTAAAAGCCTGTATTGAACATTATGGTTGCCTAGTAACGTTATGATTGCCTGGTAGTAGTATCAGATGACTAGTGGTCTCAAAAGAAAATTGAAATTTAAACTGTATTTTCGGATAATTTATTTTGTGTATTTTAGATTATTAAATGTATTTTAATATAAAAATTGCTATAATTTGATATCATTGCAATGACATGCAAATAACGGAAGTGTTTTTAAATGGCAAAAATAAGAAAAAGAGATAAACAAGGAAAAAAAAAATTATTTAGAATAGAATATTTAAAAAAAACCAACTAAGTGAAATCAAGAAAAATTTTGAAAACTTTAAAAAAAAAACATTCAAAAAGAAAAACAACTAAACAGAAACAAAAAATAATGTTCCCAATAAAATCGAAAAAAAAAAAATAATAATAATAAAATGAAAAAAAACACTATGTGAAAATTGATTTTATTAATTTATATTGTTTGCTGTGTTTAATTATTTTTTGTTCATTTGTTCATACTGTTTGATTTCTGTGTATTTCTGTGTAATTATACTGTCATGTATTTTGTGGATTGTTTATACTGTCGTAAATATCAGTGTTGCCATAAATAACTGTGTTTTGTTTATACTGTCATAAATTTTAATTTTTTTGGTGGTGTTGTTGCTAATACTTGTGGTGATGTTGTTGCTAATACTTGTGGTGGTGTTGTTACTAATACTTGTGGTGGTGTTGTTGTTAACACTTGTGGTGGTGTTGTTGCTAATACTTGTGGTGGTGTTGTTGCTAATACTTGTTGCTATTATTCGAGTGATTTCTGTTTTTTTGTTTTATTTTTTTCCTTATTTTGTTTTTTTTTTCTTTACTTTTTTTTTAATTTCTTTTCTATACGAGTGACACTGAATTTGATTTTGCTGTTCGCATGTTTTATTTCTGTATTTTATTAAGGTCTCACTCCTAGTGACACTGAACCTGATTTTGTTAAATTATAAATAAATTTAAAATTTTTAAATTTTATGGTTAGATAAACAGATAATCAATGAAAACTAAATAAAATTACTATAGACTTCTCACCTTGTAAAAATATATAATTTATATCATTAAAATGTAGAAAATAGTGGAGTTTCTGCATGTAAAAGAAAAATTTTATCAGTACTTTAATTACAAAAGCATAACAGAAGCTAAGTTGTTTTAATATTAGAAATATAATTGTTTTATAAAACAAAATTAGAAGTGCTATGTAAATAGTACACAAAAAAAAAATTAACAAAAAAGAAAAAAACATGTTCTTACTAAGCTATTCATCTTTAGAAATTCTGACGACAATAATAATGGAACAATATTATTAACATCTAAAAATAATCATAGCTTAACAAGGTAGTTTTCTTCATGCATATTTAATGGTTTATGTTAACCAAAACACATCGTTGTTATCATATACCTAATTTTAATTCTTCGCCACCTTTCTTTTTTATATAATTAATCAACCATTGAAAAATATTCACATCACAATGAACTGTAATATCAATATTATCCCATTGATGATGATTTATAG